CTGGATTGGAAGCATTACTACATCCAGGAGCACGTCCTAAAAAGGTTAAAGTAGGGCTTTATCTTGTATTAAACGACCTATTATCCTTTACTGATAAGATATTCCCTCCTTGCAAGCGTAACGGAGTTTGATAAGAGGAATGAACCGCTGACAAGTATAGGTCGTGTAACCTCACTAGGTCAATTATTTATAGCTTACAGCTCTATTTGTTTCAGTAATCCTTGTTTAGTTTAGTTACCCATGGCTACAGAAAATTACCCTTTGATTTTTGCCTAACACACTGATATAACCCCTTTAACCAATCGTTCCGGCATGATCTTTTTTAGCGATATATTATCCGACAAGGGACAGCCCTCGGTGTTCGCTCTCCTCTCTCCGTACTCAGCCTCTTCCAAAAGGGTGCTTGTGCATTGTATCCTGTTGGTACTCACCATGTAACACCAGTTGTAAGTTGTTGACTGTGTTTGTTTTAGTTTAGGAGACAAACACACAACACCCATTATATCTCAAAATGATTTCTTCCGTCAACCACGTGCACCATGGATTGCTTACTTCTTTAAGTTTACTTGTGTGGGGTCTCTCTCATAACCTTAATAAGACGGTTAAATTCCGTTGAGTATACATACAAAATTTAGTTACAGACGGCTGTGAAATTGAGATCAAGAATAAGGCATTCATATTCCTATTTGGGAGGCTGTTGCACTGGATATGCATCCGCGATATACGACAGGAATATTTCGCATGCTTGCTTCAAAACTACGCTGTCTAAGCCAAACCACAGGCGATATTGAACACCGTCTACGTGGGCTCATACTATTTAACCCGACTACGGAGCCATTAAAGATTATCTCCTTTGAAATTGGCTGCACCGGAATACATATCTGTCTATGTGCAGACAAACATACTGGCGCTTTGGTTCACCGGATAGCAGTAGTCATGTCCAGCAGTATTATATCATCATCTCTGTGTTTATATTATCCGTGGTTTGATACCAATGTCGCAGCACTAGGATCCGTTTTCGAAGTAGCATAAGTAGTGGACGTTGTAGTAGCCTTAGTGCTTTTGGTGCTGCTGGTCGTGGTGGTAGTAGTAGTAGTAGTAGTAGTAGTAGTAGTAATATTAGTAGGAGTAGTAGTAATAGTATTAGTAGTAATAGCAGTAATAATGTTACAAAAAGATCCCTACAGTAGCAGAATAACCGCTTACATCTACTTATAGTAGGTGAATGTTAAAAGCACAAATATTAATACAAATACTACCACCAAAACAAGCACGAAGGACTGAGATATCCCGCCAGTTAGCAACATTCCAAGCCACGGCTTTTAGCGCACCGCGATATTTTATAAGCCGACCCTCGGCCAGACGTGGCCGTAAGCAAGCCTACTGCCGCAATGTGCGTTCAAGACGTCGGTGTTCGAAGCAGTCTGCGACTCGCGTGTATTCACACAGTTGGCTGCGCTCTTTATCGACACACGGCCGAGTGATCCACCGCATAGAGTTGTACTTTCGAACGGCATGACTGCTGCCGGTTTCATTAGGCGCACTAGAACTTGGGCCAGTGACTGGCCAACAAGGGGTGCACCGCCACGCTCCACTACGCAGCAGAGCATGGGAGATCCACGTCCATAGGGTGTAAAACACAACAGTAGAAATCAACCCACACATGGCGGGGCGCCGAGACCGTATTCATTCATTCTAGCACATCCGATCTCGGGTGTTACGCCTCGCACACGCACAAGGAGCATTTTCACACACACACGACGACGACGACAACGACGACGACGACAGTTCGACCATCGATTTCGATGATGTCCACCGTTTTTCCCACAGACTGCATTGTGGGCGCAGGGACGGTGACTTACGCAGGGGTTTATAGTGCCAGTAGACTTGCGTAACATCTACCTTCACTCTCTCCTCCTCCACCGCCTGAGCCCGGTGTCAAGACCAAGTCAAGAAGACCTGAGACGGGGGAGGACGCAGGTGGATGGCTTGGACGGATCCTTGCCTTGGTGCTCCAATCCACACCCACTGGTCCACACACAAATGACCAGGATTTTAACCACAAAACAATGGAGTGATGGCAGTGGTCCAGTTGTGCGACGAATGCCGACAACAGGGTCCGCAGCGCACCCCGCACATGTTGGCATTTGTTACTGCGCACAGATAACGCCTGCCAAAATCCGATGTGGCCCCCGTGTTAGGCTAGCGCATCTAACACGTGGCCCGTTTGAAGGGCAGAACACACGCATAAACGACGACAGTTCGATCATCGATTTCGATGGTGTCCACCGTGTGCCCCACAGACTGCATTGTGGGAGCAAGGACGGTGACTTACGCAGGGGTTTATAGTGCCAGTAGACTTGCGTAGCATCTACCTACACTCTGTCCTCCTCCCCCGCCTGGGCCCGCTGACAAGACCAAGTCAAGAAGACCGGGGACGGTGGAGGCCGCAGGTGGATGGCTCGGACGGATCCTCGCCTTGGCGCTCCACTCCGCACCCCCTGGTCCACACACAAATGACCAGGATACACGCATACACACACAAGACAGTTCGACCATCGATTTCGATTATGTCCACCGTATGTTCCACAGCTGCAGCTGCAACGGAGGAGGCAGGGACGGTGACTTGCGCAGGGGTTTATAGTGCCAGTAGACTTGCGCTGCATCTACCTACACTCTCTCCTCCCCCCCCTGCCTCAGTCCGGTGTCAAGACAGAGTCGAGAAGACCGGAGATGAGGGAGGCCGCAGGTGGATGGTTCGGACGCATCCTCACCTTGGCATTCCACCACACCACCTGGTCCACACAACAAATGACCAGGATTTCAAACAATACAACAGAGATTTGGAGGCTGGCACGGCCGAAGCCGCACCTGGGCGTGCCGCCAACGCCTGGCTCGGATCCCACACTGTGATGGGAGTGCCATAAATGCCACATTAAAAAGGAGCCATTGCAGCCTGACTCTCAGACCACCACCGGCGGAGAAGGAGGTCCAAATTACCCCGTCAGTTGGCAACCTTCCAAGCCACGGCTTTGAGCGCACCGTGATAACTTCAAGCGCGACAGATTGTTTATAGTGGGGAAAATGCGCTGAGTCGTCGACCTCACTCTCTCTTCCCATCCCCACACCCCTGCCGCTGTCCGAGCAGGTCAGCAGACTGGACTGGGGAATGGGAGCGGTGGCTGACATGGTCGATACCATGCCTGCGCGCGCCACAGCACGACCTGGCCCCCATACACACAAACACCAGGATTTCACACAACGGGTGTTGTGCGGCTGGTCTCTCACTTGCGTGAGAGTGCCGTGGAAGGTGCTGTTTCAAAAGAAGCGAAGAGACGAGTCCCAGGAAGCAGTCTTGAAGAAGAAGACGATCGTGTCTTCTTCTTCAAGGTGGTGTTTCAGCCCGCCGCCCAGCCCACCAGTCTGTCACTACACACAACACACACAAAACGTGTGTGGGGACCTCAATCAGCAACCTTCCTATCCACGACGCTTGACGTGTCGGGATAGTCTCGAACTTAAGTCACCCCTGCAGCCGAAGCCGCGTGAGGACCGATTCGAGGTGCACACTTCCCACTTGCGTGGGAGGTGGCAGTTGGGTATATGCGCTGGGTGAGTGTTAATGTGTGGTGGTGGTGGTGGTGGGAGGTAGGGAGTAAGTGAGTGTGTTGTGTGGCCGGCGGTTGTCTACAGCAGGTAGTCTGGATGCGCATGTGGCCAAATAGGCCCATGCGATGCCTGAATGTGCGAGGGCAGTGCGGGCAGTTGAGACGAGCTTGGCGAGTATAGGTTGGTGCCCAGGCACTGGTTCGCCAGTCTCTGTGCGTTTTTTTCGCAAGTGACCTACCAGGCCGATGCGTGAGGTGAATGAACGTGGACAGTATGGACATGAGAAGTCGACAGTGTCAGTGTCGGCAACGGAGCAGGCGTTGATGGCGTTGGTGGTGGCGCAGTTGGACGAAGCGAGGGTGGTCGTGTGCACAGTGGATGTGTTGGATGTGGTATGTGTGTCGAGAGCGCGGTCAATGCCGCTCTCGTGGATGCGCATGTAGCAGAATAGGCCCATGCGATGCCGGAAGGTGCGTGGGCAGTGTGGGCGGTTGAGACGAGTGCGGTGGGTGTAGGTTGGTGCTTCACGCACTGGTTTGCCAGTCTCTGTGCGATGGATTTGAAAAGTGACCGGCCAGGCCGATGTGTGAGGTTAAGGTGCGGTCGCAGTGAGGGCAGGTGTAGTCCTGATTCTCATCATTGGAGCCGAAGAGGAGTGGTAGTGTCGCTCTTTGCGCGTGACAGTCGCTTAAGCGGCCGTCGTTGGAGCAGTGGAGGAGGAGGAGGGGGAGGAGTATGAAAGTGGTGGTTCAGAAGAATTGTCAGAGTTAGTTGGCGGCGGAGGGGAGGAAGAAGCGGGCGGGGGACGATGGTTGGTGCAGTTCGAGAGGTGCAGTTTAGTCGAAGATGTCCAACAAGTCTGATTCGAACCCGAATGTCCGTTGACATCAGGGACACGTTGAAAGCGGTTAAGCGGCGTCGTTGCGTGCTGGACGAAGTTGGGATTTACGGGCTTCGCGATTCGCCTTGGCGGCAGCGATGCGGTTGGCTTCGTAGATCGCAGCGCCTGTCTTCACTGCCCGCCTCCAGGTCGGTCGATCGAGTGCGAGCTCCTCCCAGTTGGTGGGGTTGATTTGCAGGCATTTAAGGGAGGACTTCAGGGTATCCTTGTGACGGCGAATCTGGCCTCCTTGACGACGAGAACCCGTCGCGACGTCTCCGTAGAAGAGTCGTTTGGGTAGTCGCTCGTCGTCCATGCGCACCAGGTGGCTGCTCCAGCGCAGCTGAATTTGCCTCAGTATGGCGTACATGCTGAGGATTCCCGTCCGTTCCAGCACATCAGTGTCGGGGATGCGATCCTACCAGTTCAGCCTCAGGGTGCGACGAAGACAACTGAGGTGGAAGTGGTTCAGACGGCGTGTCTGCTTTGTGTACACCGTCCAAGTCTCCGCTCAATACATTAGCGTCGGCAGGATGACGGCCTTGAACATCTTTAGCTTCGTGCTCAGTTGAAGTCCGTGACGATTCCAAACTGTGCTTTGGAGGCGACCGAAGGCTTGACTGGTTTTTGAGATCCTGCTGTCCACTTCGCCATCGATCTTGGTGTCGCGGGAGAAAGTTCTACCCAGGTACGGGAAGATTTCAATCACTTGCAGTTGGGTCCCAGTCACGCTGATTTGCGACGCGTTGGGGAATGTGGCTGAGTTGTGTGAAAATTGGTGCATCACCACGGTCTTCTGCGTGCTGATGACTAGACCGAAGTTCTCACAGGCGGAGGAGAACAGGTCCATACTGCTTTGCATCTCTTCTCCCGAGTTGATGTTTAGGGCGCAGTCGTCAGCGAAGCGAAGTTCGTGGACGGTGGTTGTGGATACGCGCTATTGGAAGTGTAGCCGCCGTCGATTCTGCAGGTGACCATTCGTCCTTTAGGCGATGCGAATCCCGGGGCATACCTGCTTCACTCCGTTGGTCACTGCGAATGCCTCTGAGACAGCACCGATGTCCGTGACTCGCACCATCATGCCGTCGTGCAGCAAAGTTCATATCCGTGTTCCCACGATGGCGACGGAAGCCGCATTTGCTTTCCGGCAGAAAGCCTAGTTCCAGATGGTTATTGTGGCGGTTGAGAAGGATAAGAGCGAAGACCTTACTGGCGATGTACAGAAAGGAGATGCCGCTGTGATTATTTCAGACTTGGCGATTACTTTGTGCTTGTAGAGATGCAAAATGGTTGCGTCTTTAAAATCTTCCGGGACTTCTCCTTGACGCCACATCTCCTTAAAAGCGCAGTCAGGTGATCCATGAGTTGGGGACCTCCGTGCTCGTAGACCTCAGCAGGGATCGCGTCCGACCCGGGTGCTTGCCCGCTGGAGAGCAGCTGCACGGCCCTGATGGTCTCCTGGAGAGATGGCGGGAGGTCGAGATCCACGTTCGTCTCCACTTGCGGCAAGCAGGCGATGGCGGCGTCGAGGATGATGGAGGGGCGGTTGAGGACGCCTCGGAAATGCTCGGCCTATCGTTGTAGGATTTTCGTCTTCTTAGTAAGGAGAGTGCTGCCGTCGGCGCTGAGGAGAGGAGCAGTGACCTTCGTCGGCGGACCGTAGACAGCTTTGATCGCAGAGAAGATGATCTCCCATTCGTTGCGGTCCGCGTACTCTTGGATCTCCTCAGACTTGCGAGCAGTCCAGGCGTCCTGCATCTCGCGCAGTCGTTGCTGAAGTTGGCGGCGACTGCGGTATAAGGCAGCTTTGGTGGCATCAGCGGGGTGATCTACGTAGGCTTTGTGTAGGCGGTTCTTCTCAGCAAGCAAATTTCTGATGGCGGCGTCGTTGTCTTCGAACCAGTCCTGGTGTTGGCGGGGAGCGCGACCGAGGACGGCGAGTGCCGTCGACTGGACCGTGTCTCGCAGTTGACACCAGCGGTTCTCCACGGGGACGGTCTCGGCAGCGGTGGCGTCGTCGGTGGCGGCAGCGATTGGAAGGTTGTCTAGCCGTTGAGCTAGCTCATCGCTGAACTGAAGATGATGAGCGGGCCAAGAAAACGAAGCAACATTCAGCTTACCTGGGGATCGCTTACCTTGTGGTCTCCTGCGAGGCTGTAGGCGAATACGCATCTTCGAGATGACGAGGCGATGGTCGGTCCACCCGTCAGCACCCGCTATCGCCTTCGTCACCAGCACGTCCCGCTGGTCTCGCCTCCGGACGAGGACATAGTCCAGCAGGTGCCACTGGTGCGACCCAGGATGCCTCCAGGTTGCCTTCTCTCGCTCCAACAGACACAAGAACGTGTTCGTCAGGATGAGGCGGTGTTCTGCGTAAGTGCGGAGCAGCAGCAGACCATTGTCATTTGAGCTGCGGAGACCGTGTGGACCCAGCACTCCTCTCCAGGCAGTATGGTCTGTGCCGACGCGGGCGTTGAAGTCGCCAAGGACAATCAAATTTTCGCCTTCGGCACAGCCGCCAAGAGGGCTTGCAGATCCTCGTAGAATTTGTCTCTTGCGGCGGCGTCGGGGCTGGTCATCGGCGGAGCGTAGGCGCTGATGATGGTGGCGAATTTGCCCCCCGCCGCAGGAGAGGCAGACGAAGGCTCCTCAGGCGATCGTTGATGCCCTGCGGCAATCAAGGCAGTCGCCCCACGATGTTCTTCCGGATGGCGAAGGCGACACCCGCGTCCCGTTGCTCTGCCTTAGGTCGACCAATCCAGAAGGTATAACCAGCACCCACTTCCTCCAGTTGGCCTTGTTCGGAGAATCGGGTGTCGCTGAGTGCGGCAATGTCCACCTTGTAGCGCGCCAGTTCTCGTGCCACTAGCGCCGTCATCCGTTTCGGTCGGTTGCTCCTCGGATTGTCAAAATGGGAACGAAAATTCCAGGCAGACGGAGTAAGCAGAAACGCCCTGACAATATGGTAACAAAGAGGGGAACGACGGGAGGTAGGTGGAGAATAAGTTGACAAAGTAGAAGAATAGAGAACAGAACAGGCAGAAGAAGAGGAGAAGGAGGAGGAGGAAGAGGGAGAGAATGAGTGCGGAAGAAGTTGTTGTAATTCTTTCGATAATGGTATGGAAATGCATCTGACGGCCAGATATTTTAGAATGAGAGGAAAGAGGAATTTTTGAGAGGAAGGAGTGGGGAGCGGATATCGAGGTTATCACCGAAATGCAAGACCATACGGAGAAGGTAATGGTATAGAAATGCATGTGAGGGCGCAAAATGTATGAAGAAGAAGAAAACGGATTGGTGAGTGAAAGGTTTGGGATGCAGTTATGGAGTATGTCTGCGAAAGGAAAGCCCGTTTGGAGGAAAAAATGGTTTAGAAATGCATCTGATGGCGAGATATGTGAGAATAAGAGGAAAGCGGAAATTCCGAGTGGAAGGTGCGGGGAGACGATATGAAGACTATCTCCGAAAGGAAATTCCGCATGGATGAGATAATGGTACAGAAATGCATCAGACAGCGAGATATGTAAGAATAAGAAAAAAGCGGATTTTTTGAGTGGAAGGTGTGCGAAACAGATAAAAGTCTATCAGCGAAGGAAAGAACGTATGGAGGATAAAATGGAATATAAAAGCGTCTGACGCCGAGAAATGTTAGAATAAGAGGAAAGCGCATTTTTAAAGAGAAAGGTGCGGTAATCGGATATGAAGTATATCTGCGAAAGGAAAGCTCGCAAATCGGATATAATTTAATAGAAATGCACCTGACGGCGAGGAATGTAGGAATAATAGGAAAGCTGAATATTTAAGTGGAAGGTGTGGCTAGGATATGGTGCCTATTGGCACGTATGGAGGAGATAATACACAGTAATGCATCTGACGGCGAGAAACGTAGAAATAGGAGGAAAGCGGAATTTTTGAGAAGAAGGTGCGGGGAGCGGATATGGAGCCTTACTCCGAAGGAAAATCCTGGATGTAGGACAAAATTTTACAGAAATGCATCTGACGGTGAGATATGTAAGAATAAAAGGAAAGCGGAAATTATGAGTAGAATCTGTGGGGACACGAAATGGGGACTGTATCAGAAAGCAAACCACGTATTGAGGAGATAATACACAGTACTGCATCTGCAGGCCAGAATCGTAAGAATAAGAGAAAAGCGGAATTTTTAAGTAAAAGGATATGGAAGCGGATATGGAAACTATCTCCGAAAGCAAAGCCCCTATGGGGGAGATAATGGTATAGAAATGCATATTGCGTGCAGATATGTTATAACAATAGGAAAGCGGAAAGGTTGAGAGAAAGGTTTGGAGAGCGGATATGGAGACTATCTCCGAAAGTTAAGCCCGTATTGAGGAAATAAACGTATAGAAAGAGTAAAGCGACATATTTGTGTGGAAGATGCGCGGAGAGGATATGGAGTCTAACTCCGAAAGTAAAGCCCGTTTGGAGGAGATAATGGTATAGAAATGCAAATGACGGCCATATATGTAAGCATAAGACGAAAGCGGAATTTTTGAGGGGAAGGTGTGGGGAGAGGTTATGGAATCTATCTCCGAAAGGAAAGCCCGTATGCACGAGGTAAATGTATAGAAATGCATCTGACGGCGATAAATGTAAGAAAAAGAGGAAAGCGGAATTTTTGAGCGTAAGGTGTGATGAGAGGTTATGGGGTCACTCTCCGAAATAAAAGAAGAGCAGAATTTTTAAATAAAACGATATGGAAGCGGATACGGATTATATCTACGAAAGGGAAGCCCGTATGGAGCCGTTAATGGTATAGAAATTCATCCGACGTCGAGATATTTAATAATTATAATAGGAATGCGGAATCTTTGAGTGGAAGGTGTGGACAGAGGATATGGCGACTTTATCTGCAAGCAAAGACCGTATGGAGGAAGCAACGGTATTAAAATGCATCAGAATGACAGATATGTAATAATTATTGAAAAGGCGAATTTAAAATTGGAAGATGTGGTGAGAGGTTATGGGGTCTATCTCCGGAAAATAGGACCATAAGCATAAGATAACTATATACAAGTGGATCTAACGTCGCGATAGTTAAGAACAAGAAGAAAGGGAAATTTTAAAGGAATATGTGAGAAGCGGGCACGGATTCTTTCTACGAAAGGAAAGCCCGTATAGAGGAACTAGTGGTATAGAAATGCACCTGTCTGCCACATGTGTATTAATAATTGGAAAGTGGCATTTTTGTTTGGTAGTTGTTGAGAGAGGATTTGGAGTCTCTCTCCCAAAGCAAAGCCCGAAAGTAATGGTATCAAAATGCATCTGATGACGTGATATGTATGTATAATATGAAAGCGGAATTTTTGAGTGGAAGGTGAGGGTGGCGAATATGGTGCATATCTCCGAAATGAAAGCCCGTATGGAGTAGATAACTGTATAGAAATGCATCCAACGTCAGGATACGTAAGAAAAAGGCGCAGGCGGAATTACTGAGTTAATGGTGAGGGGAGAGTATATGAGTTATGTCTCCGAAAGGAAAGCCCATATGAGGGAGATTATGGTACAGAAATGCATCTGACGGTCACATATGAAAGAATGAGAGGAAAGCGGAATTGTTAAGTGGAAGGTGAAGGGAGATGATAAAGCGTCTATCTCCGAAGGGAAATCAACTATGGAGTAAAGGGAACTGAAATTCATCTGATGGTCAAATGTGTAGGAAGAAGAGGAAAGCGGAATTTTTGATTGGAAGGTGAGGGGGAGAGGATATGAATTCCATTTCCGAAATAAACGTCCGGATGGTGGAGATAATGGTATCGAAAAGCATCTGGCGGCCAGGAATGTAAGAAAAATAGAAAATTGGATTATTTGAGTGGATGGTGTGAGGAGAGGACATGAAGAATAACCCCGAAAGGAATGCCGGGATGGTGGATTTTTGGCATTAAAAAGCCTTTAATGGCGTGATATGTCAGAATGAGATAAAAGCGGAATTTTTGAGTGCAAAGCGAGCGTAGAGGATAAGGTCAGTTTCTCCGAAAGTAAATTCCGTATAGAGAAGCAAATTGTACAGAAATGTATCTGACGGCATAATATTTTAGAAAAATATAAAAGCGGAACCAT